GTAATTCTGGAATATATCGGGGTTAACGCAATCAAAATTACTTATAAGGATGTTTAACTTTTATAGATCAAAGTGCTTTATGCAACTAAATATGAAAAACAAAAGTATGTACGTTGAATTAGCATTATACAAAACTGTCAATTTATTCAAACAGAATTTGTAGGTTTTATTGAGTTGGAAATGTGAACACAAAACACATGACGGTATCCCGCCACTGATGCAAAAATGAAATAGATATTTAGATGGCCAGTTTATATTGGTTAAAAAATCAAGACTCAATAAAATAGTTTCGCTACAATAATTCGACCAAGAGTAATACTTTCCGTTAATAATAACAAAACATCATCAATCAAGCAACATTTATTTCGTCAGCTTTAAACCGGGCCTCACCGAGTGCAATACAACTAAACTAGTGCTTGCAGAAAACCTTTATACATTTTGGAGACTGGCTAAAGTAATCAGAAGAAATCAACACTATATATATTCCTAGAATTTATGAAGACAATTTTAGGTTTAGGAATAGAAAATAGATTATATGGCGACATACCAGTTAAGTATGTTGATTATGCGATCATATTCATTGAGTATTTTGTGTGTCAATGACTTAGTGCCATCATTAAACAATCAAAGTTATAATTACAAAAACAGCTAAAGTTAACACACTGGTTAGAAGTTCACACTCAATGTTCTTATGAATATCTAGTACAGTGCTACCAACTTACAAAAAATAATATTGGTTCTAAGTACAATAAAATACGAGTGTTCTCGCCATTTGGATTAGAGATTTTAAAACTGTATTAAGTAATCAGCAAGTCCTATATCCCACATCCTATATTAATAATAATAATAATCAGTAAGATATTTGGTAACCACTAAGCTGACACTACGAACAAAAATATTTCTTAACACAATTACTTTGGATTATGGTCTAATACATAGTGGATTGTAGTTACTTGACTTTGTAACAGTCTGAGGTGTTTTATATTAAATATAGTATGGCAGAACTTCTTATAAGTAGAACAATAGCTTTTTGGATATATTATTAAGAACCATAATTAAAAAAATAAATAAAAAGAATAAATATCTGCTCAATAGACAACAACGAAATCAAGGCATTACTTAATTTTTTCGCGTAACACTAATATCGGTTTTTTTTCGGCTTTAAAATAGAATAAAAGAAATAGAATAAAATAAATGGAATAGAATACTAAAATATAAATATATAGAAAATAGAAAAATGGAAGAAGAAAATGGAAAAGATTTTAAATAAAAATTCACAATATCCAAATTATCGATAAAATTTTGTTAATTCATTTTAATTTATTTTTTGAAATTCCATATCTGGATATACAATATATATGAGTACTCAGTATACAATGTCAAACTTATAAATTAAAATAAATCATTTTGTATTAAATTTATATAAAAACCAACTATTTTATTACAAAATACCAACATTCCAACCGGAATAATTTCCTTTGTAAAATTCTATCAACTCGAGAACATTTTAAACTGTCATATTAATTACAAAAATTAAATATATTATATGCATATTATGTGTTTATACACATAAACTTCAATTATAAATGGGAAAAAAAACCAATACTGTTAATATATAATATAGAAAAATCTATTCATAAAATGCAAGCAATAGCAACTATAGTAGTAATTACCACATTCATTATTCATATTTGAATGGCCATAAAATTGATAAATTACTGCTTCTTTGCAGTTACCAAGTCCATTAGACTCAAAATGCAAATACTATTACTATTGCCAATACAAATTTATATTTAAATCAAGATTTTTAAAAGTGCAGTGGAAGTGCCTTGCTAATATTGAAAAAGAAATATGAGCAAGAAATAAATAACTGCATTCGAGCACTTTACCAACAGAAGAACCCAATGCAGTAATATGACTTGCAGATAAAAATTATACTACTAGACAGGAGTTAATGTTCCGAAAAGGAAGTAAGTGCTAAGAGATTATTTTCCCTCGCTCACCGACATGGGGTTGTGGCGGTTACTATAGCGCATAGAACATTACAAGTGGCATTACTAATAAAGCATACAGCGAAATAGTGGAAACCACTACATCTTGTTATATTTTTTATAAGAAAATGAAAAATTGCTACTTTCAAGTTGCTGCGACGGAAATAGGTAACACACTTATATATGTATGTATGCACATAGATACTATATTCACTACCTACCTATATACATATGTGCATACATACAAATACATACATACATAGACATACATACATAGAAGAGAAGTATTTCAATTGCTTTGAATGAGGACATTTTAAGTGCTCCATTCTTTTGCATTGCATATCTATGCATGTCGCAGAAAAGGACTTGTATCTGGTTTTTGTTTTTTTTTTTTTCATTCAACCGCATATACTACATTACTGAAGTGATTTTAATTCTTTTTAAGGGTTTCTCTTTTTTACCGCCTTGCTGAATTTTAAGTAGAGAAGAGTAGCATGTGTGACTTGGAATTTTTTAATTATTTTTAATAATATTAACTCTTACATAAGGTATGTGTCACACTTTAAGTGTTATTAATAACAAACTGCAATTAAATTATTAATGCAATGTAATGCAAAAATCTAATTGCAAGGTGATATCAAGTACATAAAATACAGGTTTACCAATTCAAACAAAAAGAAGTTTTTATTATATGTATATACCACATTTAACGATAATTTTCTATAAATAAATAAACAGATAAATAATAATAAATAAAGAAATTAGTTAATTTGATTAACTATTACCAAAATTACTTATAATGAAAGAAGTAAGCAAAGCGAATGCAAGAC